TCACTCGCTGAAGTCTTGACAAATTGAGCGATTGAAGTAGATGCTCGGGGGTCTGGAGCTTATCACATTGTTTGATTGTGTGTGATTGATTATTTGTGCCTTGCCCGAGCTATGATTTGAGGTGATTTCGTGCCATTTACCTTAAAGCGTGTTGTTATAAGTTATCGTTAAAGTTAAGAGTCAAGTTTTTTTTTAAGTAGTAACTCACCTTCAAGAAGGTGAAGTCGTTTTATGTGTTTTTAGTCACTAGCTCCAGTCCGTTGCCATTTGAGATTTTCAGTTAGAGCAGCAGTTATGCTCTTGAGACTTTTAAGATGAGAAGCAGTTATGCTCTTGAGAATCGTGGTGAAGAGACACCACGATAATTTTAAGATGTTAGGGGGATGAATCGTTACGACTTCCCTAACTAAGTTTAAGTTTAAGGAAAGCCTTGATGGCTTCTCATACGTATGAGTTGGCAACCGGACTAGCTAGTGAGGGATCCCAGTGTCAGTAAGTATTTAAGTCGAGATTTGAGCTTTAAGAATGGAGAGTAACTGTAACTCCCATACAGTTCTAAGAGTTAAGCTTTTTAATAGTGGAAGTACAAAACAACTCCCACACAGTTAAGTAAAGTGCTCAAGTTTCAATAAGATGTTAAACGTAAGGGCGTAGACTGACCCCAACTCACTCACCAGTTTGAGGAGGAAGGAGCTAGAGGAGCAGTTAGAGAGCAGCGAGTTCGAGAGGAAAAGTTCGAGGGCAGTCAGCTAGAGGAGGGCAGTGCAAGCGTCACGGAGGATGCCTAGTTAAGATTTTCAGTAGCAGCAACGACATAGACTACCTAGCTATTTACATATTATGATTATGAGTATAGACTAGAGATCAGATTGAGATTTTAAAGTTTGAGTTTAATTTGCCCACGTGTTGGGGCTTTGCTCTGAGCTACAAGTGTGTGTTTTCAGTATTTTATTTATTAAAATTTTTCCCAGTTGCAATTTAAGATTTTAGTATTTTATTTATCAAGGGCATTTTAGTAAAAGTAGTACCCGGTCAGGTTAGCGTGTTTCATTTTGGTATCAGAGCCGGTCTTCCTCTGTAACTTGGTTTCCGAGGAATACTGGAATATCGGTCTCAGTTTTAAAGGCTTTTGTTTTAAAGGAAAGGAAAACGAGTCAAGGTTCTTCTTTTAAGAGTTTATAGAATCTCCAGTCTACTCTAATCATATTAAGGTGAATAACTATGACGGCACGACACGAAGGGATGGTAGCCAGGGTGCGATTGTTTAAGAATAGGCGAGGACGCGATTTAGTTAACATGTCGTGGTTTGTCAAATGAGAGATTTAGGCATATGGTGATCGCCAGTAAGAAATAAAGGATGAAAGAAACGTGACCAACCCAAATAGAATCTCAAGGGCTCTCAAGACCAAGTATCTCATTGACATGATGGATAGTAGTTTCTCAATTAGTTAACCAACTACTCGGACGTTAGCAAACAGATCATCATCATCAACCTAGAGAAGGAAGGAGGAATGTTGCAAAGGTCTGTGGAGGTAGAATTAAATGTGCGAGGACTTTAACTCCAAACACCAGCAGAGAGGTGCCAATTGAAAGAGAATACCTCAAGAATTTTGAAGAAGTTGACAGAGTAGTACGAGGATTTTACTACTAGGAAACAAGTGGATGATCTAATAAGCTAAGACAAACAAAGGGGAGAAATATGAATCTCCAAAGGAAGAGGAACAATCACCAGATGCCAGTAGCTATGATGATGGGAGGATTTCAGGGTCTTTGACCCTAAGCAGTGGCGAAGAAGCAACGAGCCAAGAAACAAAGAGGTACCACGAGAAGTACCTCAACTAGTTTTAGTGGTCAACGTTATTGCAACATAGTGACAAGGAGCAGTGAAAAGCTTAGACTTCAAGAGAAGCTAGGGTAGTGTAAATGAAGTAAATGAGGAAGTAAGTAGGTTAGAGGGGGTCTGAAAGGACGTCAAGAAGTCAAAAGTTTAAGAAGGAGAGGAGGCTATTGTCGTCTCCCTGATGAGCCCAAGGCAGGGCAAAACCAGTTGGCATGCATATGCAGAGAGGCTGGTCTTGGGGAATGAGTGCACCTCAAGACGCCACACGGACTTCGGAAGTCTATGTCCGTGACAAGTAGTATCAGATGTAGAGGGTACTTAACCCTGGGGAGTTAGGCCGATGACAAGCCTTTAAAAGGAACAAGACAAGCAACAAGATAAATGAGGTAAGAGGTTGAGGTTAGATCAGGCATGCTATACACCTGTCAAGCGCAAGCTAGAGGACAAGGTATGAGAAGGGGTTGAGAGACCCTGCAAATTACCATGATCAAGGAGAATCAGAAAATTGTGGAATTTCAAGTAATCCATTGGGAAAGTCTAAAGTGGGAACTAGGGGGCCAAGAGCGGGAGTCTCGGAATCAGCCGTAGGAGTAAATCATCCAATCAACCGGGTATAGACAAGCAAGTATAACGTTCATTAGATGTTCTAATGAAAGTTGGAGAATTCGAGGAAGAGTCTAAACGGTCGTAATGAAGAGAGGTTGCGAACAATACCAAAGAAGAGCAAAAAGGCCATAGGGAGTTTGACGAGATTTCAAGAAGTCAATGGGTCAAGCCCCAGGTGACTCGAGGTCAAGAAGCTGCACGAAGAGGTACGATGAGGGAAAGCATTACCGAGATGGAGGAAAAAAGAGAAGTTACCTTATCCAAGGTGCCCCACTCTGAGTGGGCGCGGTATGGTAGGAGGGCTCTAGAGGAGGCAACTAGCTAAGGATGAAACAGACACGCTTAGTTAAGACACTAAGAATCCTAACTAAGAGACTAAGTTTATGTACAAGATCGATCAACAACAGAGACATGGAATGAGTTATGTTAAAGGTTACCAAGGGCAAGCCACCATTGGAAATTTGTGACCTAAAACAACAACGAGAAGATACTCAATGGAGGTTGGTGACCAAATATAGTACAAGCAACAACAGAAGAGTTGTAGTTTGGTGGTAGTAAAGGTAAAGGAGCAAGAAGGACACCGTGGGAAGTTATAGAAAAAAATATGGTTGGAATCAACTTGGCGATGTATGCGTCAAGGAAGATAGCTAGGACGGGCCAAAGCAGGAGTACAACAGATAACAAGAAAGCATTAGGTTGATTACCAGTAGAGAACAGTTAATCCATAGGAAGTCCATCGAGAAATTTCGGCCAATTGTAAGGTGGAATCGTGGTCGTCAAGAATAGTCAAAGGGAGAACCTTATAAGTCAAGGTACACAAGTGAGAAGAGAATATGAGAACCTAGATGACTACATCGGGAACAAGGGACATAAAAAACTAGCAAGGAACATTAAGAAGAAGAGTGATGAGTAAACAAGTAAGAGGGATATGAGTTTAGGAAACCTGCTAGGATACCCCATAGTGAAACCAAGATTGCCTATGTTGGTGAAAGGTGTCGATCTCTCAGATAAAAATTTATTGGACGGGGAAACCGTACGATGAATTTCAGGCAAGGTCAAAGAACAATAGAAGAGATCGTACGAGAACTCCCAAGTCAAATGATGATAAGAAAGTGTTAAGTTAGGTGCCAGGAGTGAGCAAGTACGCAAAATGGAAGGTCATGATTCTGGAAAGGATTCATAAGGTTGATCGCAGGCTAGAGAAAGACGCAAAGGATGCCTCTAATGCATACAGGAAGTAGAAACAGTAGTATGAGGTTCCAGCACTAAGCATCAAGTAACGAGGCGGTGACCAATCAGTTTATGGTTAAAGGATAAGACGAAGTATCAAAGAAGAAAGTAAGAGATACAACGTTAGGAGGTACAACGTCCTAGGTCACCTATGAGGTCAACCCCAGACGAGAGTTGCATTAAAAGAGTTTTACCACCTTACTAAATGGAGGATAAGCCGTTGTCAGTGAACTTGGGGTTGGAGAGGGGCATTAACTTCTCATGTACCGAACAATGGATAGTTATCGTTCCTATATATGTACAAGGTGCAGCTGAGGTAATGTGAGGGGTTAAGAAGCCACAACAACATTGAAGTTGCAGGGAATGGAGAGAAGGATTTTAGGTCATGTCGTATAAGTTAAAGGAAATAAAAATCCGTGAAGTGAAAAGGATTACCACAAGTGATGCTTAGGATAATCACAGTGGAAAAATTTCGAGGGCGAAATTTCTGTAAGTGGGGAGGAAATGTGATACCTCGACTTCTATAGATTCAACATCAAGTACTGGGCCCAAGTTGGAAAATTTTGAAAAGGGCAATGAGTCACTCAAACCTATTCGATGCTAATGAGCTTGTTGAGAATGCATTTTAAGGAAAGGAAGTACAAGAATGGTGTTGACAGAGGAATGAGATTCAAACAAATTTCGGGGAAGAAATTTTTATAAGGGTGGAGGAAATGTAACACCCCGACTTTGGGTTCAGGTTCGACCAAAATACGAGAACGATTGGGTTAACGGTTACGTACGAAGGGTTGCAACCGTGAATTAGTAATAATAATTTATTATATTATTATTACTAATTAGTATATATATATATATATATATATATTCCATACATATATATATATATATATGGGGAGTTCTACAGTACCACGGGTGAAATTCGAGGTACCGCATACCTTGAGTAAGAAAACGCTATCCAGAACTTGAATTGACTGCTCTTTCGGACATGATACTATACTCTAACCCATAAAGATCAAAATCTAGGTCTTAATTCTCTAAATATTATACCCCGAGATCAATTTAATTAGAAACATTAATCGACGATTATGATTCGCCCAAATATAGGCAAAAAAATCAATGCATCATCTTAGGGTTTATAGTTTTGATTTAGATAATTAGGACCTAGGGTTCACTCATTAAGGATTAGGGTATATTATCATGCCCAAAAATCCTGCTAATTCGAGGTCTAAATAGTGTTTTCATACTCAAGGTATGCGGTACCCCGGATTTCACCCGGGGTACCGTAGAAGGCACCATATATATATATATACTAATTAGAGCTTCCTCAAACCCTAGCTTGTGAATTCGTTGAGGAGGAGCGAGCACGGGGATGAGCCGATGATTGCCAGGCTTCCCGATCCCAGAGATGAAATCGGCATTGTACGAGCCCTCCCCTTTCAACCCTCGCCATCTCTTGAGGGAGTTTACCGTACGATACTCTTATTTCTCCAATCATGTCCCGGAGATCTCTATCCAGAATTCTTGACATTCGCCGGCACTGGCCGGGCCAAAAGGAGAATCCATAGGCGGCAATTACAAGCAGCGCCGGCTGGGAGAAAATCTCGTTGTTATGAAAACGAGATGCCTTGATTTTGAGGACTTTGAAGGTACAATGTTCATGTCCATATGCATGGCTTGTTCTAGGCATCGGAAATTGAGCATGGAGTCGGAGCACATGTACGAGATGAAAAGGGCAACAAGTTAAGTTTAGAGTAACTAACAACCAAGTTAGTGGTCAGCTCAAGCTTATCGGCTTGATTAATTAGGTGTTTGCTGGAATGGTAAGGGAAGGTTTGAAACCAAATGCGATTACCTACGGTGCCTTGATAAATGGTTTATGGGGTGGAGACGAATCAATGGCGGCAGTGGATGGTGAATTGCCAATTGGAGGTCAGCAAGGATAAGCGATGGGTGTGGATGGAGCTAATCTTCAAATGAAATCCAAGGTAGCTTATCGCACGGGTTAGAGCGAGGGAACCTACGTGTACACTTCGGTGGAGGAATGACTCTAAGATGATGAACCCTTGGATGGTGGTTACTTCGAAGCAACCAACAAGTAGCAAAGTGAGTGTAAAGGGGGTAAATTCTACGCTTTACGTATTCCTTTAAGTATTATGATTTTAAGTATTTTAGCGAATTGGTTACCGTTGTTTGATTACGTGTGTGATTGATTATTTGTGCCTTGCCAGAGCTATGATTTGAGGTGATTTCGTGCCATTTATCTTAAAGCTTGTTGTTATAAGTTATCGTTAAAGTTAAGAGTCAAGTTTTTTTTTAAGTAGTAACTCACCTTCAAGAAGGTGAAGTCGTTTTAAGTGTTTTTAGTCACTAGCGCCAGTCCGTTGCCATTTGAGATTTTCAGTTAGAGCAACAGTTATGCTCTTGAGATCTTTGAGACAGAGCAGCAGTTACTCTCTTGAGACTTTTAAGATGAGCAGCAGTTATGCTCTTAAGAATCGTGGTGAAGAGCCACCACGATAAGTTTAAGATGTTAGGGGGATGAATCTTTACGACTTCCCTAACTAAGTTTAAGTTTAAGGAAAGCCTTGATGGCTTCTCATACGTATGAGTTGGCAACCGGACTAGCTAGTGAGGGATCCCAGTGTCAGTAAGTATTTAAGTCGAGATTTGAGCTTTAAGAATGGAGAGTAACAGTAACTCCCATACAGTTTTAAGAGTTAAAGCTTTTTAATAGTGGAAGTACAAAACAATTCCCACACAGTTAAGTAAAGTGCTCAAGTTTTAATAAGATGTTAAACGTAAGGGCGTAGACTGACCCCAACTCACTCACCAGTTTGAGGAGGAAGGAGCTAGAGGAGCAGTTAGAGAGCAGCAGTTAGAGAGCAGCGAGTTCGAGGGCAGTCAGCTAGAGGAGGGCAGTGCAAGCGTCACGGAGGATGCCTAGTTAAGATTTTCAGTAGCAGCAACGACATAGACTACCTAGCTATTTACATCTTATGATTATGAGTATAGACTGGAGATCAGATTGAGATTTTAAAGTTTGAGTTTAGTTTGCCCACGTGTTAGGGCTTTGCTCTGAGCTACAAGTGTGTGTTTTCAGTATTTTATTTATTAAAATTTTTCCCAGTTGCAATTTAAGATTTTAGTATTTTATTTATCAAGGGCATTTTAGTAAAAGTAGTACCCGGCCAGGTTAGGGTGTTTCACGCCGACTCGCCGCTAATGGAGGACGGAAGTATGAGCTAAGGAGGCCAGGCCTCTGCGCTGGCTACAAGATGGAAGGAGGAGGCGACTGGCGATGAACTTACTGCTGCTGGTCACCGCTGGCTAGAGGATGGAAGGAGGAGGCGACGAACTGAGCGAGGAGCTGAGGAGGCCAGGCTGGCAGTCGCCACCCGTCGACGAGAGCAACGACGCAGGTCACCGGACAGGAGGATCGAGGGAAGTCGAGTCCTGTTGTGTCGTTCGCTGCTTCAGTCGCGTGTGTTGGCTGAGAAAATTGATATGCTAGCCGAGAGGATATCAAATTGATTAGGGATTTTAATTAGGGATTTTGTTTTTGTTCTAGATTAAATAGCATTTATGTTGAAATATCCATCAAGAATTGCTTGTGGTGTAGCGGTAGGACAATTCATTATGATGCTGAGATCATTAGTTCGAAACGTGGTGTAGACAAATGTCGGGGTATTTTTTAACCCTCAGAAGTTAGCTGTGTCCCAGGACACATCCAATTATGTCTCCCTCCGCCTATGTATGCACATTTCCTTAACTTTCATCATTTGACAATGTTTATGTCATGTTATTTTAAGTTTGTTCTAATTTCCAAACACGAAAAAAGTGAACAAAACCTTAACATCTACACTTTCATTTTCTAGAATTAACCCTTAATCACCGAATTACAAAAATCCAAATTTCAATTTTATTAATCATAAAAATACACCAATTACAAAATAATTATCTCTCAATGTTAATATTACTGTACCACGTATCCCAACTCTATAAATAATAAAATAGTTTAAACCCATAGTCATCTTTATGAACCACTTTAGCATTATTGAAGATCAATGAAAATTATAAACACTAAATCTTACCAAATAGGAAGCAATAAAAAATGAAAGAGAGTTTTTAACTAAAACACTATGCTACATTAAAAATTAATTTAATAAAAACTAAATAATTAGAGAAAACGCACTCTGCCTCCTATGGCAAAAAGAATAACTAACCCTTTCTGGCGTGGGTTTTGTTTTGCCTGGTTGGTAATATAAAGTGGAAAAAAAAATATATATAATTACTATTATGTCCCTACTTAAAATTAAGGAGAAGCCAGCAAATTCGAAATGAAGAAAAGTTGATAAAACTCTGCTATATTATACTGGAGGATAAGCAAGCTATGACACGAACATAGCAAAATTATATGAAAATAACCTATACAATCTACATCATTTTATCCTAGTAGACAACATTCTTGTTGAACAGCGCAGGCAATGGATCTTAAGTTGCAAGATTTGAAATATATTGGACATGATGAAAAATTGACAATAATGGTTAGATGGACAATGTACAACTTTTATTCTTATGTATTTATGTATGTGTTGCTTCCCCTTGTAATCAGTGTAAATAACAAAAATATGCAACTAATAGTGATATTCATGTTTAGAAAGCAAGGGTTTATGATTGTGCTTTGATATAGTTTGATATATCTATGAAAATGGTTTTTAGTATTTATCATATTTGTTGATCACGACAAAGATTATAGATATGAAATTATATTATTTGAAAAGACACTTTGCAAATTATAGTCACAAATGAAGGAACGCAATTGCTAGTCCTAAATTTGATATCATGTCTCGTAAGTTCCAAATTCACTTAATAAACACAAAATATATAAGGATTGTCAATAAAGTATTTCAATAAATTAAAAGAAAAATATCATCCTATGATTTCACAATACCTAAAAGAGACATATTGTAAAATCTCGCACCAAGAAAAAGGTTTGACAACATTTCCAACAAAATTGTTGTAATCCTTCTTACAACGGGTTAATGAGTCAGATTTCTACTTATACCAAATATTCATCTCCAAATTTAATTGTTACATGCAAAATTAAATTTGAACTATGATATAATTAGCTTCTAAAGCAAAAAAGAAAATGTACATGTTCAAGCACTTAAACCCCAAAATGCAAGAATCTAAACACATGTCCCTGTATGTTACCAAAATAATTCTTATTTAGTAAGACGGTTTAAAAATTTTTATTATTATTCTCAACGTATCTAATTTTTATCAGGCATATATGATATTTTCATGAAATTGTCATATTTTTAATTAATTTATTCATGACACGTCCCGTCTCTTTTCAAAAACCAAACCATAACTCAAACCCCAAACCGGTTACTCCGGAGCAACCCAAAACGGTTTACAAGTCAAAACCAAAAATCAACAACCACAATGTTTAAGATTTTCAAGTGAAATGCCCTAAACACTTGGGTGACCTCAATCCAGAGCAACAAAACATAAAACACAACCCTTGACTTTCCCAGTATACTCATTAAGACATGAAACTAAAGACAAATATATGGTAGGTCCCATCTCGTTACCCAGATCCAGTTGACATCTTCAGGTTAGTCGCGACTTCTCTCCTCGGGTAATCTCCTCTCGATGGATGCGTCATTTTCCCCTCTATGCACCTGGTGAGTGAGAAGGGGTCAGTCTCGTCGTTACTCCCTAAGGTCTTTGCCCTAAGAAATTCCTCACTAAACACGTTATTAGGGTTCTTAACTTAGACAAAAGTCGTTCTCGCTTTCATCCCTTATACTTTGCTATCAAACAGTCTATAAGAGCGCTACTCCTATTTTATCTTTAGAATTTCCTTACTTATACTCTTAATCCAAAGACACCAACACAAGGGACCACCGCGTTACGTCTCGCTGTCCGGTGTACCTACCCTAGTATGCCAACCGCGTTACGTGTCGCCGTCCGGTTGCATACCTAAACTCGGCAATGGCACTGGGTTACGTCTCGCCGTCCAGTCCATGCCCGTCAACTACTGCGTTACGTCTCGTCGTCCTTTCTTGATTTAAACCCCCTATTGAATCACTAGAACATCCTCTCCTCTAACTCCAGTCCTTTAACCTCATTCTAAGGGTCCTTTAACCCCATTAAAATTTTCTAGAATTAATCCCTGAAAAACGACCATTTTTCTTAATTATTTTTATCTTAGACGAATTTTTCACCTAACTTGAACCTTCTTATAATTTTGGAAAATAATTTTCACATGTCAATTATGAGCACTTATATCATGTAAAATTATTAAACCCTTGAAAACCCCTCGGAAATATTTTTATTTAATTAAAACAAATATTAGAACAATTTCTAAAAATAGGAATACATCTCCAAAAATCTCCAAATTAAATTAAAATCATCTCCTAGACGTCTTTCAATTTATAAAATTTTTAAATTCAGAAAAAACTTCAGAGAGGCTCGAAACAATTTAAAACATCTAAAATACGTTTCTGGAAATTTCCAGCAGCTTTAGTGACCAATCAAAATCCGTCACTAAAAGCCTGTTGCTAAAACCCCAGAATTCTACCCTCACGAAAAATCACCAAATCAATCGACCTAACTCAAAGGGATCGAGTTCTCTTACCTCTAGAACGTGCCTAGGCCTAGGTTGGATGACCTTGGATA